TTTATTTTTTTCTAGTGGAAAAGAAAAAGTGGTATTTTTAATTTTTCTTGATATTGCACATGGTTTGTGTGTCTTATACAAACCGAAGAAGTAAGGAGTAAAACATGTTGTGGCGCGATGTCAGTCATGATGTGGCCATGACTGCAGGATGGTTATTTTCCTGAGGCGTTTTATTTCATTTATACCACAGCAATTTGCCAGTGAATACAATTTTATCTGTTAATATACAACTCGTTGTACTTCGTTTACAGTTGCGTTTATTATTGTGAGACGTCGCAAGTTAGTTCCTGTTATCACTATCACTATTATAAAAAGGCTGCAACTGGAGACTCATTCCACAAATTAGTTCTAAGATCACATGGTATAGCAGCTATAATCAGTCATTCCTCACCAGCCTCCCTTGTTCTTTCTCTGCTGAAGAACAAGGGAGGCTGGTGAGGAATGACTGATTATAGCTGCTATACCATGTGATCTTAGAACTAATAAGACAAAATGCAGCTTGTCATGTTACCAATGAGCCGTGAAGTATTAAAGCTTATCTACGCTGGAAGACTTGAAGGAATGGCTTTACCTCTGATCGACTGTACGATGACAACATATTAGATTGTTATAAACCTGATATTTGCCTCGCTATTGTCCAGTCTGCTGTTATAAAAAAATTAACCAACACCATCTGACCAATCAGACTGGAGAACTGAACAGCACTGTGGTGTAAGTGATAGTAGTTTGTTCACTACACTACATTCCACTCACATCCTCATGGCGAATTCTCTGCGTGTTCAGTCTCTCAAACCTGTTTATCTCAAAGGTCTTTGAGCTCTGGCAGCGATGGATCTTTCTACACCCCATCCTCGTACTGACTTCTCCTTCATGTCTGAATGGCACTGCACTTTAGAAAAAGCGTTTCAGTCATGTTTATGAGAGAACGCCAAGCGGCTCTGTGCTCTCTGTTGCCAAGGAGACACATTTTGTTTAATTTGTGAGCTTTTCAGTAGTCACGTATGGGTAAGTTTATTTTTTATTTTAGTATTTTTATTATTATTTTTAAACCCTTACCTATCTCAGGATTGGATTCACCACCTTATGATTTAAAGGAATAAAATTACGGATCTGAGCACTGATTACAAATGTAAACAAAATGCACATGTAACATGATGAACCCACACTTGGTCTAAAATGCTTTTTTTTTTTTTTTTTTTTTTCCATCCGCCTGCTGGTGTGAGTCAGCTGCTCTATCTCCATCTCTCTCTCTCTCTCCCTCTCTCTCTCTCACTCTCACTCACACACACACACACACACACAGCCTCTGTAGAGGTCTGGAGGACAAAGCCACCCTCCTTTATAGCCATCAGTCCCTTCCCTCCATGCTTGATGTCATGAGTTTGATTTGGTGCAGTGGAAGTCTGTGTAGGTGTTTATATAAATCTCTCTCTCTCTCTCTCTCTCTCTCTCTCTCTCTCTCTCACTCATTCTCACTCTCGCCTGTTGTCATGTCTCGTGCAAACTCTCTTTCCTCCCTCCAGTCCTCCTCCTTTTCTCTCCTTATATCCTGATTTCTCTCTTGTTGTCTTTAATAAGCAGTAAATCAGAGTCGTGACCCAATACAGTGTTGATGCAGCCAGCATCGACCTTCAAATAAACTACGGATTGTTTCTTATAAATGCCATTTTAGAGTGGTGGAAATAATAAAAAGCCACTGCTGAGTGGGTACGGTGTGTTTACACCTGATCCTGATATAAATCTTTTTGTTTGCCTGCCTACAGCAATGACTTCAGCAAGATGGTTGCCGAAGAGTACCTCACTTTCTTTGAATTCACAGGGATGACATTGGACCAGTCGCTCAGGTATACACTACTACACAGCTACACCACTACACACCACTACACACTGAGTTCTGTGGAAAAAAAAAAACCCCCAACAACAACAGAAATATAAAAATACATATAAACAAAGCAGAAATCGTATTGTGTCATGTGATATTAGTGTGCTTTCGTTCTGTATGTATGGATTTATTTATTTATTTATTTATTCCAGTTAATGACCAAAATCACTTAACTAGAGCACAGTAAGGAATAAAACGCTACAGGGCATGCTGTTATAGGAAAATAACGAATGACGTAGGTGGTGTGATGTGGCTTGCCACAAGACAAATTTACTGTTAACATCCAAAGGTCGATTATTTTCCTATAAAATCACATTCTGAATTTTTTTTTTTTTTTTTTTAGACCACGGTAATTTGCCAATGATTAAAATTTTAATCATTTATAAATGAATGACATTTTGTCCCTGGTGGTCTAGCAGTTCAGGATCAAGCGCTCTCGCTGCCGTGGCCCCGGTTCGATTCCCGGGCAGGGAACCAACCCACCCACTGGGAGTGTACTCTCAGTGCCAGTCCCAAGCCTGGATAAATTGGGAGGGTTGTGTCAGGAAGGGCATCCGGTGTAAAACCTGTGCCAAATCAAACATGCGGACCAATGATCTGCTGTGGTGACCCCTAACGGGAGCAGCCGAAGGAACAACAACAACAACAAACACCATGCATTTTAACGTTTAAAGTTACAGATAAATGTTGGGGAACATCATTGCATGCATTATAGCAGCTATAAACAATCATTACTAAGTACTGGTGGCATTATTTTTTACGGGTTGTCCATCCCTCTGTGTGTCCATTCAAGAGTCTCGGTAGCGCGGTATCTCAGGAACGAGCGGTTGAATGCCTGTAGAATTTCTGTGGAATTATAATTGTAGCCAGCAGATAAACATTTTGGATTTCGGAATTAATCCGAACAGGGTCAGGGTCATAGCGAATGTGTGAAATAGTTTTTCTTCAATAGCTTACTTCCTGTTTATGGTACAAGTATATGTTAAGGCTATTTCTGGCATACAAATTAGTAACAAGAAGGACTAGACTTGTTGGCGGTGGAGGCATCCCCGTCCATGCCCCTGGCATCAAGTTCTACTTATTTCTTTCCTCTTTCTTGAAGTTGATGAGTAAAAAAAAAAAAAATCCATCTTGTCATGTGACCAAGAAACCGAAGAGAGCCAAAGTCGTCTGTCATGAAGACTATTCTGTGTCTGAAAACCTACTGACCATTACCAAGCACTGACACTGGAGACTCCTTCCACAAATGTTATATAAACGTCTTCTTACAGACGTTTTTCTTTGCTAACCAACAATAGATTCTTCTGACTGATGAATGAATTAATTACTGATTCATTCTGACACAGAATTCAGCAGTGCTATTGGTAGTCCAAAAATAATGTTAATAAGGGTCACAAAATGTTAGTTATTATTGCTTTGCATCAGGATTGCACATTGTGATTATTACAAATTGTGATCATTCTGTTTTTTTGTTTTTTTTCCCCCCCTGTTTAGATCCTTTCTCAAAGCTTTTGCACTAATGGGTGAAACCCAGGAACGAGAGCGGGTTTTAATCCACTTTTCTAATAGGTACTATCAATGTAACCCCACCATCCTCGCCTCACAAGGTACTACACTATTTAAAATCCTATTAAAGTGTGGTCTGAAATGATTTTTGTAAGTACAGTTTTGTCTAATGGATACACAGTTCCCAAACCAGTTAGAAATACATTCCATTGTCCATTAAAAGGGTCTTTTTTTTTTTTTTTTTTTTTTAAGCTTGGTCTAAATTGTGCCATCATTAGTGATAACACTACTGATTAGTGACTAGAGGATTCATCTGTGCCTGGGAAGCCAGTCTTAAGATTAACAGCTGCTTTATTTACATTTTATTTATATTATTTAGTGAGGACCAATTAGGTCATCTGAAATTTGATCTTCACTTCAATCCCGCATGGATTTAGTGAGCGTTTTTCAATTTCTCAGCCTTTTCCTGTACACACAACGGCTTCCTTCCCTCCCACTCAGCCTATAGATTAGCCGCAGATCAACTTAACTGTCCCTTGGGGTATTAGCCATTAACTGGGCATTATCAGGCTCACTCAGCTCAGGCTGATAAATGACAGCTGAAAGATGAGCAGAGGTTCAGGAGAAGGTCACACAGAGATAACCTTTCCAACAGTTTGCCCTTTAAACAAGTAAAAAAAAAAAAAAAAAAAGAACAACAGTTTTGGAAAGAAGTATTTTTTTTCTCTGTTGAACATTTAATGAAATCAGCCTTTAATGTCAGCGTCTTTGCCTTCTGTATCGTTTGTCTATGTTTGATGCCTGAGTGTCATGTCTCCCCCGTAGCAACCGTCTTGGTAACAACAAGCCTGTGTGACCAGTAGATGGTAAAAGCTAAAACGGTCTCCTTGTTGCTAAGACTGTTGCCATGGAACTGGCGTTACACTTTGGCCCAGTGGAGAGATGGATGAGATCTGCATGTTTAGAGTTTTTCATATTACCATTTAAAATGTAGCATTTAAAAAAAAAAAAAAAAAAGAAATGGTGAAAATTACATTTAGAAGTACGTCCCCCGAGCTGTGAGTGTGGTAATTGTCCGGACCGTTCTCCTGCCACCCGATACACCAATGGCTGAACAATTACTCATGAATAAATCTGTTTTTGCAGATGGAGTGCATTGCCTTACATGTGCTTTAATGCTGCTGAACAGTGACCTACATGGACAGGTATGTTCCTCACCACTGCATACTAATATTCACTTCTAAGTGTCTTTACAGTAGGGATGCATCGATACCAATACTGGATACTGGAATCGGTGCTCATGTACTCGTACTCAGCCTAAAAAAATTACTCCTATGCCGCCAGCCAATACCACGTGATGCTATGTGACCTAAGCCTAGTGTATGTTGTCATGCTAATGAAAAGCAAAGCAGACTGCAAACTGTGCACTCAAAATATCAAGAGGATGCAGCAAAAGCTAGCTAGCTTGGTGAGAAAAAATGTTTACACTCAACGCTAGGTGAGTAAAAAATAACAACACTTAGCCAGTACGTGGGTCTTGACGATCAGCCACTATTGGTCAAAACAGCGCAACATTGATTCCAGAAAAACATATTTTACTTAAAGCTGAACAGAAACGGGGGGAAAAAACCCTGCTCACTAACTCGGCTAACTAATGTACCTAGCTAATGCACTTCAGCTAGCTAATGCTATGAAGATCAAGCCTGGTAGCCTAAGTGCATGAGCACACACATGTGAGATCTTTGTGGTCGCTGTTTAAACCAGGAAAACATAAACAGAACTAAATAAAATGTTCTGTGACACCCGTGTTTGATTAATACTAAGTACTCATTATGGTATCAGTATTGTTATCGGTGTCGACGAGTACCAAAAAACATGTCCTTTTTCTGATAAAATGGTATCGATGCATCCCTGCTGGTTTTTACATGCAGTTTCTTCTTTTATTTTCCCTGTTTGGTGATTCAGCAGTTCATAAAGGAACTCACCTCTATGAACCTACTTGGTTACTTTCAGATTTTTTGACACTTTAAAAAAAAAACAAAAACAATGGCTAGGCAGCTTTAAGCAAAACATTTAAGCAATTAAATTAAGCTTTAACTTTCTGCCTCACTTTATTCATTAAGCAGAAGCTTTGGATGAAAGCAATCGGCCAAATGAATAAATATAATTGTAAAGTCATCTGTAATTCCTTTGTATGAATGAAGGTGGACCTTAGAGTGACAAGTCCATTTTTATATTAAGTGTGTGGAGGTGGTCAGTTCGCTCTTAATTCCAATTGAATACTGTACAGTTTAATTTTCTCAAAACTTCCAGATGCTCTGTCATGAATGGCCTGCATTCTTAAGGTGATATGGTGTAACACATAAATCCAGGGCTTTTGCTGGGTGAACGGGTGATACAGATAGGTGACAAAAGAAAAAAACAACAACATACAGCATCTTAGAAAGGTGGTAGGCTACCACAAGCCCAACACATTACTATGAACAGCTGTTTGTGTCAAGACAATGCCACTTTTACAGTTTTGTCAGATTTTAACAGTGATTTCAAGCCTTGTTGATTTGTTATGGGATTATGGGTCTCTTCATATTCAAGTAGATAGGAGCCTGATATTATAGGACTGCCCATGAGTGTTGCCACTCCTGCCACAACGAGCGGACAGACATTACACTAAGGACTGTTTTTTTTTTAAACATTTAGTTCATGGTATTATTTATTCATAATACCCTTCAGCATTTTCACATTCTAACTGCCAGTTTTGGTGGAGATTACTTCCCCTGTTCATGTCCCATTCACTGCATGTCACCCGAATTATACATTTTATATGAATACATTGTTTAAATCGACCAAAAAAAGTAGGATTTCGTAAGCTGTATCAGTTTCTTTCATTATAAGAAATAATCATTTTCTAATCAATCTTTTGGTTATTTTATCTGTAATGAACTCACAGCTTCGACATGCTTCTCAGAATAGCTCTTCTTTTTTGTCTCCATAGAGCTTGCTCATGTGTCTTTATACTCACGGGGTGGTGAATCTCGGTTTTGACGTTTTCTGGCTCCATCTCAATAGAACACATATGCGCCACGGAGACGCCAATATTTCACGCCCACATCTTGTTAGTTTGCTAGACAGTCGCTTTTGAAAGATTCATGGTAGAGGCCTTCACACAGGTGCTGAATGTGCTGTGTAAAGTTGTGTGAAATTGGCAAAGCCATGACTCCTTTGTCAAGAAAATTTCCCTCTTCACACACAGAAAAAATTGGGCCGGTTTGTGTAAAATAGTTTTTTTTTTTTTTTTTTTTTAACCCTAACGGCCTAAGAAAGAAGTGTTCTTACTGGAGGCTACTGCTACTGCTGTCACTCACAAAGATTGAAACCAGTGTTGATAAGAAGCATAATGTTGCTTAATTACTTTTGCCTTTTGCCTTTGGACTGGGAATTTGATTCCCTGTAGTGCAGAGCGGACTTTCCACACTGTGTCCTTTCTGTTAGGACAGTATGTAGCTCTGACATTATGAAAAGCCACATCAGCCTGCAGCCAGATCTTAGTCTACTTGGAGATCACTGCACTGGCAGTAGCTTCATTTTGGCAGATCTTCATTAAGGAAGGAATAAAACACAAAAGAGTTTGCTGTTGTTGCAAAATAATCAATGATGCAGTGGTGTTGAAGTTGATTTTCAGATAATAGCATTTGCTGTTGTGTTTCATTCCTCTTATACCACACCAATTAGCCAACTATTACAATTACAATTTGGCCAAAGGTTTCAGGATACATGACCATCACAGCCAAATGTAGGTCTTCCCCCAAACTGTTTCCTACAAAGATGGAAGCACACAATTGTCTATAATGTCTTTGTATACCCATCAGCCATAACATTAAAACCACCTGTGTAATATTGTGTAGGTCCCCCTTGAGCCGCCAAAACAGCTCTGTCCCATCAATGCATGCACTCCACAAGACCTCTGAAGG